ATTGATATTTTATGCCCATTATTGTGTCATGTAATAAAATGAGTAATGCACAGGGGTCATTATTACAAAATATATATGATGCTGTATGTACGTTATTGAAAATATTGCCTTTTGTGTTTCACAGGGGGGGAAAAGTCTTAAAGGTTTGCAACAACATGAGAATTAATCATTATTGGATGAACTATCCTTCTAATAATAGCTTAAACAATTCTTATAGGAAAACTACCTTAGGAAAACAATTCTACCCAAGAAAAATGAATGAAAAAAGCACTGTGGATGTTTTTATTAAAGGCATAGTTCACCTGAAAATGAAAATTCATTCATCAACTCAACCTCATTTCATTTCAAAACTATGGTATTTACTTTCTTCCTTGGAACATAAAAGAAAATATTCTTTAAAAAAAATGTGGGAGTATTTTGGGCCATAAACTTCTGCAGAAAAAAAACAAATCATGCAAAATGGTGAGTAAATGAAGACAGAATTTTTATATTTGCTAAACTGTCCATAGCCTTTGATAGTTGTTTAGCTTTGTTTAGGTACAGTGCACTTTTCTCTTAAATTAAGAAATTTGCACAGTGCTACGAGGGCAAAAGTTGTCTTATCATGTGTAACAACTTGCTTATTTTACTTTGATCGTCCATTAGACAAAGTGCTGTTGTGTCACAGTACTACTGTACAACAGTTGGCTCTTGTAATGGGGATTCAGAGAGCAATACGAACAGCCTCAGGCCTTCATGCACATGAAACAAAGCTTAGCAGAAGTGCGTCTTCATGTCTGTTGTGCTTCATCAGGCACTAACAAGGACAACAGTGGGATACAAAACAGGTCCTGAATAATAAACAGCCCAGTTTCAATTATCTTCCTCTTTCAATTATATCAAATTCAGCCCCTTGTCTTGGAAAACGTGTCATGGTTGTTTGCTTCCATGTTCCTTTCATCAAAAACACAAAGGAGAGGAATTTGTTTCTGCTCTCCATTACATTACGGAACTGCTTCACAGAATATTACATCTATTATCTGGCTCTGTCTTTTAACTCACAAGGATGGAATAATAATAATATGATTTAATTACAGCAGGAGTTTGTTTTCATTTGTTTCTCCAGTAATCCTATGTTTGTCCTCGACTTGAATTAAACTTTGAAATGAAAGATCAAAATCTATTGTGAGAGTGAGAGAGACATCTAGTGGTGAAAGCTTATAGTCACAGTTTTCCACTCTGTCCACTTCCGTTTACATTTATCCACAGCTTTACGAAATGCAAAACTTTATTTAGAAAGGACAATGAGTGTCCACAAATGCTATTGTAAATCATTATACATTGTTTATTTTTGTATAAACATTTAGGAATAAACACTCAAAAGGAAGGAAAAATGAAAAACAGTTTATTAACAGCAATAATATTTAATTGGGCTTAGTAGGTTTAGGTTAGTGTTTCGTTGTCTTATTGCACCATCTAGTGGTGTGTTCTGTTACACTCGTATTCGGATCATTTGGATACTGGTAATGAAACATTTGATAGAATGTCTTGCTTTTTATTTTCTGTTGATTTAATACATTTATGTTTTTATAGCGACCAACCAACCCACCCCCACCCCCAAAAATCATTTCCACAATGTTTCATCATTGTGGAAATATAATTTAAAGGGGTCATATGATGTTGCTAAAAAAACATTATTTTGTGTATCTGGTGTAATGAAATGTGTTTATGTGGTTTAAGGTTCAAAAAACACATTATTTTCCACATACTGTACATTATTGTTTCTCCTCTA